AGATTTGTATTTTTTGGATCGGTTCGGTTCGTCGGTTCGATTCAAATACTTACACCCTAGTATATTTTATAAATATCTTTTAATTTGTTCATTTGTCAGGAAATATTCTACACCTTTGCCAATTTGTTAGTTTTTTTTTGCTTATGCTGTAGCATCTCATTTTCGTTTTTCTATATTAATCATAATGTATATTAAAATCACCAAGTGTAATAAAAATGCTAAACTCTTTTCCATGGCATGTTTTTGCTTTCTTTCTTATTATTCACTCCCTTTGGGAGTTTGTATCCTTTTGTATCTTTCATCTATCAATAAAAAGTTTGTATCCTTCCGTTATAGTTGCTTAGGCTGGAATGTACTGTTTTTCCTTTTGCTTTTGTCTTTTTTATCTTCTAGTTTTCTTTGCTCCGTTTAGGAGATTGTTTTGGTTTTTGCTTTTGTCTTTCTATCTTTTAGTTTTCTTCGCTTCCTTTGGGAGTTTGTATGTTTTGAACAATTTGTTCCTTTTCCTTAATCAATGAGAAGTTCGTATCTCGTTAAAAAACAAAGTTTGTATCTTGTTAAAAAAAAAAAGAGCCATGCGAATATTTTATTCACCTTGAACAGATAATATAGATTTAAATTTGAAGATTGAAAGTTAGCTACATTTGTTGGATTAGCTTCTTGATGTTTATTTTCACAGGAGAAAGCATTCTGAACTGGTAGGGGAACTTTCCAATCTCTATGATAAAGAAGAGAAATTATTATCTGAGGTTTGTATGTTCTTTTTTTCTTTGAAAAGAAACAATTTAATTGATGAGATGAAATTAGATACAAAAGGGGGAGCCCATGAGGGGATTACAAAAAAGCTCTCTAATTGGATAGCAATGTAGCGAAACTATAATGATGAAAAAGAGGGGAACATATACACCAAGAGATAATCATATGAACTATTGATTCAAAAGTGTAGTGAGGAGAGTGTTCCTTATCTTGAGGTTTGTATGTAAATTTGCCTCAAGTTCTATTTGCTGTTGCTGTCCTCCTCTGACTAATTTTCTACTTATTTATTGACTTGATCTCATGTCAAGTTGCAGTTTAGATCAAATCCATTCCTTCTGTTGTATTCTAATCTATATTTAGATGGTATCTTTTTCATTGATGATTGCGTAAGGGTTTCTTGGGTCTACCTCATGAAGCGTTACCTTAAATCAGCTTAGTTTGAGAAATAATTTAAATTCATTCAATCTGATAATATTTGAGACTATTTTAGATAAACCATGATTTTTTTTCTTTCATAAATAGGGTATATCATTCATGAGTTCTCATGTACCAATGCACTATCAGTAAAATGGGCTGGGTATGAAGATCATAGGTTTTGTGTTTTTGTTTTTTTAACTAAGGAACATAGGTTTTTACTATTTATTGATTGTGTAATTTTATTCAAAATTTAACTCCCTAAACCATATTGGCAAAAGCAACTTTATCTATGTTCGACCTGAATAACCCTACCCAAGTATTTGACCATAAAAGTTAGAACTGCTACAGAACTCCTCCCAATTTTCTTCCTTGATGTCTGAACTACAACACAACTCTTATAATTGTTTAGCAATTTAGATTTACTGAATGGCTGAGTCTCATATCTTGACTTTTGAATTCAGTCAATGGATGTTCCTGTTCTTTCTGTAGTAAATATCATTTGCAAAAAAGTTATGGTAGAAGTTAGAACATATGATATATGTGGATTGTGTAATTCTAATCTAACTCCTATTATCCCTTAGACTATTCCTGATCTGTGTTGGGAATTGGCTCAATTGCAAGACACGTACATTTTGCAAGGTACTAAATTACAGTGGTTTTCTTGTCCAACTTTGTTAGATTATTATTATTATTATTATTATTATTTTTAACAATGATTCTAATGCAGCTTGACTTTAAAATCAATTAGGTGACTATGATTTGAAGGTCATGCGTCAAGAATACTATATTGATCGGCAGAAAGTGGTAAGTGGCCACCTTGGAGTTTTCAAACATTCCCTCTAAGTCTCTCATTTTGTACTAGCCCTAATCACTGTTATGCCAACTCATTGTGGTTGAAATCTAAGCTTACTCTTAATCTTATTAGTGTACTTGGGAGTTTGCATCTTTGGACAATTTTCTGTTCCTTTTCATTAATCAATGAAAAGTTTGTTTTTTGTTCGAAAAAAAAAAGCTTAGTAATTTCAACCTTCATCAAATTTATACCTTGTAGAAAAAAGCGGACACGATAAATATAGCAAAAATTTTCTTCAAAGAGATAACTAGAACAGTGTACCTACAGTGATTGTTTTTGAATGAGATGTCAAATTCTTGGGACATTTCTAGAGAAATTTGTTGAAGAAATTGATACTTCTCTATGTTTTGGTACAACAAGTCTTTCCCAAAAGGATGGATAAACCGAAGTCATAAAATGAAGTCTGGAATATTTGACCAGATTATGCTTGTGTGGTGATAAAACTAAATTATGAGATGTAACTATTCCCGAACCAGAGTAGAATCTGTTTTATGGTTTGGTTGTCTCATCTTTTGGCTGCTCGAATTAGTGTTTGTCTGTTCATTTGTAGTTCTTAACTTCTCATTCTAAGATTAATATTAACATTTTATAAGATACCAACTCTTTATTATGTCTATCCCTTGCATATCTTTCAAATTTTTCTGGATTGACGATACAATTTCATTTTGCAGTTCATCAGTCATCTGGTCAATCAGCTTGCTAGGCATCAATTCCTGAAAATAGCTTGTCAACTGGAAAAGAAGAACATGCTTGGAGCATATTCATTGCTTAAAGTTATAGAGTCAGAACTTCAAGCGTATTTGTCAGCCACCAAGGGACGAGTGGTATCTGAGCTCATCTTTTGATACGCTTTTTTTTGCAGTAATTGAATAATATCTCTTTTGCTGTAATTGTATCACGCATTTAAAAGTTTATCACTCTTTACATCATTTTTGTTGCAAATAAAATATTTGAGAAGAAATCTGAAATCTGGGTTAACAATTTGTTTTTCCTTGATATCAACTACTAGTTAATCAATGAACTTAACGGTCTGCTTTTTTTAGGGCCATCAACCAAGCTCTATTCTGAAACACGTGCTAGTATTTTCTCACGTGCTGGTATTTTCCCTTTCTAGAATTATTCTTGATTCTGGTTTATTACTTTATGTCATTATAGGGTCGTTGCCTGGCACTGATTCAAGCTGCTTCTGATGTACAAGAACAAGGTGCAGTTGATGATCGCGATAATTTTTTGCATGGCGTCAGAGATCTATTAAGCATACATTCAAGTAAGGATAATCTTTCATTTCAATATCTGGGGTTTTAATTCAATACTAGTCTCAAGCATAAAAAATTGTATCTTTTTGTTTGACTTGGAAAATGTTGTTACTTTTTTTTTAAACAAAAATGTTGTTACCTTTTTTTTTAAATAAAAGAAACAAACTTTTCACGACGTATGAAAAGAATACAAATGCTTGAGGAAACAATCTTCCAAGGGAGAGAAAACAACATGTATATTAAAGAAACAAAAAAGAAACAAAATCACTAGTGAGAAATAGAGATTTTCCAAGAAGAACATATAACACTAGAATAATTCTAAAAAATATTAGAAAGCAAACACCATTAGGAAGTCTTGAACTTAGCTAGCTCAAAGCATGCTAGCCGATCTTTCTTTTTGTCTTCGAAGATCCTTTGGTTTCTCTCCAACCAAATTTTGTATAAAAACTAGAAGCTGGAACAAGAACGAACAGAAAAGGCATCTTCAAAGCTACAATCATGGAATTCCTCTTAGATAAAGTCTTGACCTGAAGCTTGAACAAAGAACTCAATCTTCAGAACCACCAACGAGAATTAACACTGATGCTTGACCATTGAAAACTCAACACACTAGGAAACTGAAAAATTAATTTGTGGTATACAGTTTTTGAGGGAAATTCTAAATGAAAACAACTTATTTATTTATTTGTTTTGAATGAGAAACAACTTTCCATTGATATATGAAAAGGAGAACAAAGTTCAAAGATATGAACTCCCGAAGAAGTGAGAAGAGAGAAAAATACAAGCAGAATAGTGGCTCGACAAGGAGCACTAAAATCAAGATAAGAACAAGAGAGGCCAAAACCATGACGAGAGGGATCACAAAACTTTATGAGTGAGACTTCGGACAACAAAAAACATTTTTTGAACGATTCTTTGTCTGTCTTTTTTGAAATTGTTGATAATTATTATCTTAATCTTATTGTCTTTTGCCAACTTTTTATGGAACGAGCTTCTAGGGACTTCTGGGGTAAGCTGTGCTACACAGCATTGTACCAATCATTTTCCGTTAGAACTTGAGTTCTTAGGGGAGGGGAATAAAAGAAAGAAAGCAATCTTCAATCATGCATTTTTGGCTATTATTTCATGCACATGGAGTGGAAGACTAGATTTTAAAAAAAAAAAATGCAAAAATGTGGCTTTCATTTGTTAGAGGGCTGGCTTTCTAACTTATTGTGGGTCTCTTCCACTGGGGAGTTTTGAAGTTTTTCCCCCCCTTTTTCCCATATTTGCAATATTGGCCATGCTAGCTCTATAATTTATATATTGTTTTGGACTTGGAGTCTTATGCTTTTGTATATTCTTGTATCAGAAGTCCAATATTTCAATTTTTCATAAGTTTTCAGTCATGTTGACATCATATCTGAAATGAAATACAATTATAGAAGTTTGACTCCCTAATCTGGTATTATGATTTCTGATATTGGAGGATTAATTAATTAGACTGGTAAGCATCTGACAAGGACATATGGTAGGAATTAGAATGTTTGTACTACCTTGTTTATCTCATAAAACTTTGACAACCTTTATCTTCTGTAGGTCAAATTTACTTGGACATTGTAACTAATAACTTGCTCTTCTGTAGTTCGAACAAACTTTGCCTTTTTGTAAATTCTCTCTCTTAATCGTAGCTTAATCGCTGAAGATTCGGTTTACTTTGCACGAACAATTTATTGACTTAATATGTTGCTTACACAGATATCCAGGCTGGAGTATCAACTTATGTGTCTGCTCCCGGCATTATTCAACAGATATCTAGTCTTCATTCAGACTTGAGAACCCTACAATCTGATCTTGAAAACTCCCTCCCAGGCGACAGAAATAGATGCATCAATGATCTGTTAGTATCTTATTTCTTTATATCTGTTATACCTTTAGTTTTTTGTGCACTCAATAATATTCAAATGAAGTAATGGAAGTCTAATGATTGACTAGACCAAAGAAATAGCCAGTGTACATGGCTTTAACTATAGGAGAAACTAGTGTTGAATTTTGAGGTCAAGATATTGTGTGGTGCTAGTCTTTATTAGCTGATTTTTCAAATAAGCAACATTTTATTTATTACAATTTATTTTATTAAATTGTATAAAATTTACTGAGTGCTAGACTTGTTGAGGTAGGTCATTATTGTAGATCATGAGTGATTACAGAAGAATTTTGATTTCGGTCATCAACATTAAAAAAATCTGGTTTACGCGTCTGACCAAAATTCTTCTATTATGTTGAATCTAAACTTATCCAGAAAAGAGCTAAAAAAATTTTCGACCATAGTGATAGTAATCTCCAAGAACAATTAGCCAAACTCTAAAGGCCTAGAGTAATCTACAGAGGATGTTTGCCCACTAACCAATCGCTAACAAACAAACTAAAAGCCATTAATAACTAAAACTAACTCAAGTCTCAAACAAACTCAAAATGAAATATGAAATAATTCTTAACCACACTACAATCAACAGCCGGATCTTGGATCCTTAAATTTCGTTAACTTCCTTTTGTGAATAAGAACCTATCTAAAGAGAAGAGATGGAGGCCTCCCTTAAGTTTGACAAGGTAAAGGAAGCATTAAGGAGGGAAGGATCTATGAGATCACGAGAATTAATAAATCTGTTAGAGCTCCTCATATTGGATGTACGTTACTTCCCATTAGATCTTTTAGGAGGGCCCTCGCCACATTACAACTAACCACCAATCTGTTTTTGAGGATCCTTTCAGATCAAGACTATCATTGAGAATCTCATATGGCACGTATATGTTGTTACTAATATCAAGATGTCTCGTACTTTTGAGGAAGAGTATGTTTTGTTGATTACTTGAAGTATAGGTATTCAAAGATTACATGTCAGCTGAAATCTCAATCCAAAAAAATCAATTATGATATAAATCAATGAGTGTTCATCAATGTTATTACGAACTGTTTCAACTAATTAGTTAAGATTTTGTTAAATCAATGCAAGTATATATAACGAAGAATTTATAATGAGCAAGTGGAGAACTGTTTTGAGTAAGCAACCCTTGAATTGCCCTCTAATCTCTACTGTGCTTAACATTATGTTACCAAAGAATATTGAAAAATAACCTTCAGGTCTGTAATTACTCTTTTGGCCTTATTTTGCTTGATTGGAGGCCACTTTTGTTTTAGTTTGGCTCCGTTTTGGGGGTTGGTTTTTTGTATTCCCCTTGTATTTTTTTTTTCAATTTTTCTAAAGCTTGATTTCTTATTAGAAAGTAGGAAAAAAAAAAAAACTTTAGAAGGTCAAAAATCAATTTCGAACAACCTTGTGAATTGGATGTTGGTAAGGCCACCGCGCTGAATCACCTGTTGACGATATTTCATTGTAAGGCTTGTCCTTAAATAACAAAAAAAAAAAAAGAGGAAAGACTTGTCCTTAAAACTGCTTGTTTTGATCTACCAGTCTGCTTCAAATTATGGCTATTTTGTTACATCTGCTACATTCCTGTCCAGTTAATGTTCTCTCTTTTTATTTATTACTTTCGTTAATTGTAGGTGCTCTCTTATTCAAAGTTTGCAGCAATTACTTTTCGCCTCTTCGACAACTGCACAACCAATACTAACACCGCGGGTACAAGTTGTCATCATAATAATTTCCTGCAGGAATTGCTCTTGTGCATATTATTTTTGTCGTCATTTCCCTTCTATTTCTTTATTAGACAATGCAACAATTATAGCAAGCAATTTCCTTCAATCAGAATCAAATTTTATCAAAGAAAAGATAAAACATGGCTAGAGGATCAGGCATTTCATGCAAGAAATTTTATTATCTTATTCCAAATCAGATTTTCTGTAGAGAAATAAATACAAGTAGAAAGACACTGCTTCTGTTTGATCATTAAGTGGTTTAACATATAGAGGTAGGTATCTGAAGGTTTTACTCAAATCACTGACTTATCTATCTGATAATCTATCTATATATGTGTGTATAGGGGGAGGGGCTAAAATTATGTTCCAAGATATCCCTTTTATTTCTTTATAGTTGAAGATTAGAGTTTGTATTATATTGCTTTACTCTTTAATTCTTACCGCAAGCTTTCTGCAAATTGTTTTTAAAAATGGCTTTGTTCATTGCAATTTTCAAGAAGTTTACATGGTGCAACCACCTTGATTTATTTCTCAAAAGGAGAATAAGAATGTTTCACTTCGTTGGTCACAAACAAAAAATATTTCAAGAAGTGATTGTGTAGGATCTCTCATATTACACCATGTAAATTTCTCATTTAAAAGAGATATTTCTATTAAATCCACCTCTTCAATTATTTCATTGAATTACTTCATGTTTTTCTTGTCTTCTTCCTCCATTGAATTTCTCATGCAACCATCTTGTAGCATTTGATTATTGGGCCGAATAACCTTTAATCTTGTATGAAGCTGACTTTTTTCGTTATTCTTGTACGAAAAGTTGTCGGAATCATTAGAGACCCAGATAACATATTTTTCCTTTTTCAGAACATTAAACAAGATGCCCAATACTTTGCATTAAGTCTTAGCAGCCTTCTCAGTTAACCTAACCTACCACATTGCAGCTAATTATGCCTTCACTAGTACATCTAGTTTGTTATATAGCTTTTGTGTTGAAATTGCCTTCCATTCTGTGTGTTTTTATTTTTGCATAATGATCCTTAACTCCTGGAGATTTTATGGTTTTTTAGGCCTTGATGAAAGAGCTGGATGAAATGGAAAAGATAAATGCCAAACTATCTTCTGCAGTTGAAGAGGTTACCTTGGAGCACTGTAAAAAGAATGAGGTAGGTCTTTGTAAAAGCTATTTTATTTTATCTTTTTCCATATTCTGGGTTTTGTTTACCGAAAACTTAATCATGCTGTTTGGTCAAAGTCTACAAAAAGTTTCATTATGTCAATCAGATATGCTTCTTTGCTATATAATTGTATAATATTTATTTGTCATTAAATGCTTTCCTTTTCCCTTGTAGACATTTTAAAAGCTTTGGTTTATCTAGTCTGTATTTGGTACGTGAATTTGTGATTCGTAAAAGTTGTCACTTAGTAGTGAAGAGGTTTTTGTTCCTAAAAAGATCGTAGGTCCAAACCTCATCTTTGTGATGATATTCTCAAATAATTATTTTTAAAAGTTAGTGTCTAGCCTGAGTAGTAGTGAGTTTGAAAGATTGAGTTTATTAGGGGTGAGCAAACACAACCGAAAAACCGAGCCGACCGACAAAAACCGACCGAAAAGAGGTCGGGCGGTGGTCGGTTCTGAATTTTCAGAACTGATTAATCGGTCGGTCGGTTCACAAGGACCATGTAAAAACCGACGGACCGACCGATTTTAATATTAAAATATATATTTTTTTATTTGGTATATAACCAGCCTAGGGCATATTCTTCCATCCCCTTAATTTCTTTTCTTTCTGCGTCGCATCCCTAGAAATCGCTTTCTGCGCCGCATCCTACCCCAAGAATGAAGAGATGAAGAAAAAACTCTCAAATCCTCCCCCAAATCTCAATCCCCAAACTTTTGTGGCTTCACGACTTCTTGCATCAATCCCTCCTCAAATCTCAATCCCTCACCTCCTCTGGCGTTTGTTCATGCCGGTGGTTTGGCTCGTGGCTTGTGCATCAAATCCCCCTCGCTAAATCTCCCTCAAGGTTTGTTGATTTGTTATTTGTCTTTGGAATTTTTGCGTCGTATCTCCCCCACTGCATTATCATTCTTCTTCCTTTTTGATTTTGAGTTTGTTTCGTCGCTCTCTATTCCCCTTTTTCTTCGAATTCTTCTGAGTTTCTTATTCATCTTATAGAAAAAATGAATTAACACAATTAAATAAAAAAGAGAGAAATCAGTTAAAACCGACAAATCGACCGACCGAACCGACCATCCAGTCGGTTGACATAATGAGTATTTAAAAAAAAAGTCGGTTTTCATTTTTTTGAAAACCGAAAAGGTCGGTTCGGCGCCGGTTTGGGCCAAAAACCGACCCCGACCGACTGATTATCCCCCCTAGAGTTTATGTAACTTAAGTTTAAGTAGTCCTTCAAATTAACAAACATATAGCATACGATAAATATCCTTATCAAATATAAGTTCAACTTTCTAAAGTTTTATGCATCCACTTGTGATTCAAATTATCGTCCCACAAGGATTTTTGTTAGTGCGTCTTTTTGGGAAAAGTGTAACGAATAAGCATACGATGTAAATTAAGTATTCCAAACCTTGGTCTTTTATCATACTTTACAACAGTGTAAAAACCAGAAACATATGGTCTGATTTAAAATCTTCTGTTGCATGCAGATTGTAAAACATCATTCTCAGGAGGTTGGGCTACAACGTCGCGTTTTCTACGATTTCTTTTGCAATCCTGAGCGTTTGAGGAGTCAAGTTAGGGAGTTGACTGCTCGAGTCAGAGCGATGCAAGCTTCGTAGTTGACTTTGTTTGTAAATATAATTTTTCTTGTTGCTTTATCATTGTATTTATCTGTTACAATATATCATCTGAGGATGCTTAATTGCAAAAGAAAGGTTTGAGTTTTAATGACACCAATGATCTGATTTGGCAGTGTTGACCACAATGATTCAATGATATAGTTCCACTTTGACAATTGTTAGAGTGCTTGAGATTACTGATTAGTCAGTTACAGGTTACTAAAGGATTATTACATATATACCCTTGATTAGGCTATGTGGCTTGTGTTGAAGGTGAAGGGTTTTTTTGTCCTTGAGAAGAGCTTGAAGATGAAGCCAGAGAATGTTGAATTGAACTATTAAACCAAGTACAAAACCAATAATACTTTTTGACAGCCAAAATTGACATCAAAGAATGTCTTTGGTGTCAATGCTTATCTAAGATCTTGTGCCTTCAAAATTGACATCAAAGAATGTGATTATGTATCAAATGGAATCAATAACATTCAAGCATCAATCTTTAATTTTTATGTGACGGTTACTAAATGTCGCAATCACATGACAGGTGACGGTGAAGTATTGTCATCCACAAATTATCAATAATTGTTTACAATTGTCAGAAAATTGTTATTATCGCCATCTGTCTTTTATGCATGACGGTTAAAAAATGTCACATTTGAATAATTAGTGACAGTGAAACATCATCATCAATAATTTATCAATGATAATTATAATTGTCAAAATGTTTTATAATGACACGATTAAATAGTCAGAAAAAAAAACTGTCAAAGAAAAACTTTTATGGTGAAATATGTCATGACAATTTTAAAATACAGAAATCAAAATGAACCAAAGTTAAGAGTACATGTTTTAAACTTAAATTTTTTAAATTCAAATTTTAAATAGATAATCATCAAAGTTAAGTGACCTAAGCTTATAATTTAACCTATTATTAATTTTCATAAATATTAAAATTTAAAGGGTTTTTTTTTAAAGAATATATCTTTACAAATGTGGGGTAAAGATTCGCACCTTTGACTTACCAGGAAGGCTAATAAATGTTTGAATCATTGAGCTATGTTATGTTAATTATTTTTGCTATTGGACCGAACTGACAATAATAAGTTTTTGTCGTTAACGTATTGTTACTTAAATATATTGATGCAATATATTGATTAAACTAATGTGTAATGAGTTAATGTGACGTGGTACTCGTAAAATAGATCAGTTGGATAAATAAAGACGAACAACCTAGAAATTCAATAGATAGGCATGTAGGATATATGTTAAACCATAATTTTTTACTCGCTCTCCCTTATTTTATCCAGCCTAATTTATTCCCTCCAAATCATCCATCTTGATCCAATGACTCTTGTCAAAGTGAAACCTCAACATTTATCCGACCATTTTAATGACAACACATTATTAGAATCATAGTTGGAAAAATTCAAGTGAACTCAAAGCGCAAAAAAATGGAAAGTTGAAGATTCTAATGGGAAACTTCTAAACTAACACAACCATCTAAATTCAAATGACTAAATATGTAATTTTAACCTAGAAATATATTATATATAATAGTACAAAAAGGGCAGAAAAGAGAAGTAAAAAGGTATGAATTCAATAGTCACACAACATAGGGGCTAAAAAGGGACTGGTAAAAGCACAATATTTGTCATAAACCTTTTACTTGTCTACATTGTATATTGGTTTTAGATATACAATGGAATATTCACAAACACCAAAAGAAAATCCAGACAAAGACCAAAGAGAGGCTATAAAGCATCATCTTCCATATTTTTTCCTAGAAAATTGTGAAGACCATCTCGAATTACAAGCGCTATTACATCCATATTCTCGAACTTTCAACTTGAACGCAATCACCTCCCTAAAGTTATAAAATTGTTGCAGTTAAATCTTTGTAATGCCTAATTGAAGGATGACTCAATAGTTAAAAGCATCTCTACTTCTCTCCTTGGGGTAGTAGGTTCGAATTCTCACCTTTGAATTTGTGATCTAATAATATTCTAAAAAAATGTCCTAGCCACTGCCGTAGTAACTAAATTTGAGAGTATAATTGGGGCAACCTCATAGTTTAGGTGTAGTTTTACCGTTATAATTTGTGGTTTAATTGCAACAATTTTGTACTTAATACGAAATTACCTAACTTTTTCACTGTACATTACGAAAAATGTTGAAAGGGATTGGTTGCTCCATTATATGTATGCTTATTAGAAAAAGTATATATGTTTTTCATTAGAGTTATCATCCATATTTTTTCTTCGTCTATATTATACAAGTTGAGTTACAGTATCTTTGAGATTAAATTCATATCTCGGAGCTATAATCTTTCCTATTAATGATTAGATTAAATTTTATGAAATTGAAAGTTAGAGGTTAAGGAATTTAAAATTGATGGACTATGCTAAATACATGGACAAAAAATTATATTTTTACCCTTTTTGTAGTTCACTTCTAACGTATATATTTAAAATCCCAACCAAGTTTCAGAAATAAATTTCAAAATGTCTTTTTCCAAAAAAAAAAAAAGAAATAATTGACCAATATTTCAAACCTATTTGTAAAAAGATACAAGTTAAATAAGAAAGAACTTAATTATTAATATAACAAAAATTCAATTTTTAAAAAACAAAATCATTTCATACTTTTTAATTTTCTTAGGATTGGATTTATTTATTTATTTATTTTTTTGAGCATTAGCTTTACTTAAATTTCTGAGTGACAAAAGGGGAGAATATACTGTGTGTGTAAGAAAACCTAAAAGGAATAAGAGAAAGTGACAATTGAGAAAAAGGAAACAAACAAATTTAAAGTGAATTGGAATTTCACTTGGAAATTTGCAAAAGGAGAAGAAGCCCCACAGTGCATAACCCTCACAGCAGAGACAAAATAATAATAATAATAATAATAATAATATGTTTGAAAATGGTCCAAATTTCAAACCCAATTCCAATTGCACAATAAAAGTAAGAACCATAGAAATGAAAGAAATATTTCGTAAGTATTGTTCTTTTCATATAGTTTGAATTATTTAGCTCTCACATTTTTCGAATTATTTACGTCTCACATTCTCCTGACATATAAGTAAGAGTAGAAATAATGTAAAACGAGATGAAACCTTTGATTTTCAATTTCATGACAAGATTTTATTGAATTGAAGTTTTGTGGAGAATATTGTTGTCCTGATTATTCATGAAAAGTATTTGAAGAATAATGTAGTAAAACAAGACGAGGATAGCGATATATGTATATGTGTGTGTATATATAGCTACAATTATGGATTTAGATAAAATATTATAAAAATAATACGAACTAAAACGTTAATTGCAAAATGATTATAGTTAACCGATATATAAATTTAATTGTTGATTTACCATATTACCTCATAAAATAAAGGCATACTTATTAAAATTATTTAAGTTAGTCAATGATTTATAAGTTTTAAAAAAATGTTACATTTGTAATTACTTTTTAAAATACTATATTTATAATTACTACTATAAAAATACATATTTACAAATATTTTTTAAAATCAAACTACTCATTCAAATTTTTGGTATATATTTTATCCACTCCATATGGTTTTTTTTGTTAATAGTATTACAAATTAATCATGAGATAATTAAACGTACAGAAAAATTAAATATGTCTCAATCAATGGAGTTAGACTTGAGTTAGCAAGTTTATGGTTTATATAAATTTGATTCTTACCCTTTAAAGTCTTACATATATCCGTCTAATTTTAAGATTTAAAAAAAAGTAGTTTTTTAGGTTTAATTACAAGTTTTATTTCTAAGCTTCCAGTACTATTGTGTCAAATATGTTCTTTAATTGGAAAAGATGTCTAATAAATATTTGAACGGTCAATTATTTAATAATTCTCTAAACTTTAAAAGTATTTAACAGATCACCTGACTTTAAATTTTGTGTCTAATAGATCTGTGAACTCTTTTAAAGTGTCTAATTAAGTTAAGGACCAATTGATACAAAGTTGATAGTTCAGGGATCTATTAAACACAAAATTGAAAGCTTAGATACAATATCGAAAGTTCAGAACCTATTAGGTACACCGTAAAAGTAATTTAAGAACTAAAACTGTAACTTAATCTCTTTTTTTTTCTTTTTAAACATATTTGGTTTGAGTTTAGGAGGGGTTTAATTTTAAGAATGTTTAGAGCAAGAGAAAAAAAAAGAAAGAAAAAGATTGTTATATGAAAAATGTGTAATGATAGCTTGTGAAGAAAGTGAAAGAAAAGAAGAATAGGAAGAAGAGAAGAATACTATAAAAAAGTTGTTATATAGGTTGGTCCCAATTTGAAAGAATTTGGTAGATTCTCCACTTAAACAACAAAAAAGTGTGCATAAACTATTATATTACCCTCTCAAATATAAAATTAATTTTTTTTCTCTTACTTGAATCAAATTTTCCCTTCCTTCTAAACCCTTTTTCTACTCTCACTTTGTCATTTTCAAATTCTTCTCTTGTTGAATACATTTCCTCAATTTCTTTCACAATATAATTTCAATATACATTTTACTCCCCTTTCTTTTGTATTTTATATAGGGAGTTAATGCAAAAATATATATACATATATATGTGTGTATGAACATGAATAATACGTGTTCCTAAATGTTGTTTTTAAAACTATGGTGATGTAATGAGTTAGATTATTTATGTAGCTCGTACTATGATAAAGTATAGGTTGAATTAACCCAAATTTCTATTGACATTATTATATGTCCATGGGTTTGACATTCAAATGAGGGGTGATCGACATTTTAATAGTGTCACAAAAAAAAATTGATAAAATATAAATAATATCAATATAATATCAGCAATATGGACATAGTATTTATTTAACAAGTGTGAAATTAATTTATGTTATGATTTTATATTTTTATAATTTTTTTTTAAAAAAATCCATCGATATCAACATTTTGTCAATATTTATATCAACATTCCCACAAGATTTATGGCTCGACGTTTACAATGACCCCAACATTTAAAACCTTTAGCCCAACTTAATAATCAGTCAAAAAACCTCTCTAATTGTTTTTTTCTTTTGAGTTCAACAATGTGTGGGGTAGAGATTCAAACCTCCAACCTTTTGGTTGAGTAAATTTGTCTCAACCAATTAAACAATACTTAGGTCGTCAATACTCTCTTATTGTTAAGAGGGAAGGAGAAAGATGAAAAGATATTTGATACTAATAAGTACTCAGATCGATATGACAACCTTAAATGAGTGAATAAAGTTTAACTACAAATTAAAAACTTTTAACAACTGTGACCAATTTAAACAAAATCAATACACTAAGCATACAATTCTGACCAAGTATGATAAATAAATTCTATTAATCTCAAAAGACAATTGAGAGTAATTTAAAACAGGCAAATAAAATTTTAAAATTAATTACAAAAAATAAATAGGAGAGAGCGTTAGAGAAATTGACACGTGAATTATTATTTTTTTTTTATAATGGTTTGACACAATCGTCCTACCCCACTAATTCCCAAGCATCTCTTGAGTATTAGATTGAAATTTCTACTCTTACCATAGTAGGGAAGTCAAGCCAGTACGCCACTATTCTCAAGAGTAAAATTGATCATCTCCATAGTGAGGATCACAAACGTTACCAATGTTTAGAAATTTGCTACACACAGTTACAAACTATCAAATAGAATAGATTTATGAATTTAAGCTCATAAAAGATTAAATTCTCACAATAATAAAATCTCTCACAGAGATAAGATGAAAGGAAAATCTTGGAGAGACCAACAATATAAATTTTTGAAATACCGAGGATTGTAAATTGATAAAAAAAAGAAAAGGAAAATGGTCGAGAAAAATGAGATTTAATCGGAGCCGTTGGATCTTAATAATTAAGATGAAAAGTGCAGATTACTTTGAAAAATAATTAAGAATTATATATATACACATAGTTATATTTGTGTTAAAACCGCTAACAACATTTTTTTCAAACAACATTGTCAACACGGTAACATAAAAAAGTAACATTCTTATTTCGATTAAGTTTGTATCGATTCATTTTCATTCTGTTTTCTTATCATTTCGATTTATGGTAAATATGGTAAATATGGGTGGTGCAGTTAAAAAAGAGTCCCTACCATAGAAGTGCCAGAGATTTTTGGAGAGGGGATAAAGAGTAATTGTGGAGAGAGAAAGACAGAGAGAATAATGAGAGAGATAAATTATAAAGAGAATAAATGCATTTGTTTAGTTCAAAGGGGAAGGTAGATCAATTATTGAGAGACATGTGAGAGAGTAATGTTAAGATAGAGAAAAAAAGGGTAATTTCTTGGGACAGAGATCATGAGAGAGAGAAAGGGGAGAGTAATTTCTTGTGAGAGAGAGAAATGGGAAAGTAATTGTACGAGAGAGAAATCGATAACGTTTATAGTTTAAAACGAGTATACATCGACGATAATTGACACATATCTCCAAGTAAGAGGTTGTGAGTTCAAATTCTCACTCCCACATGTTGTACTAAGAAAGAAAAGTCTAAAACATTTCTAGGATGAACAACCATCTTTGCTAACCACTGTTAAATTTTTGACAAGTAGAAAAAAACTACAAATTCTTATTAATGGTCAACACAAAGCTAGGTGCTAACCGGTAAGCTCCTAAGTATTGTTCTTAATTGGAGCAGTTACTTTGTTTTTTTTTCTTTTTTCATATCCGTGAGTGTCCGGACCAGCTTGCGCGTACCTCGACTAATCTCACGGGACAACCGCCTAATTCTACTACATTTGGTTGTTTAAGTAACTCGTAAGATATTAAATCGTGGCCACTATGGTTTGAATCCATTTCCTCTAAGCTCTTTTCTATTTACATTGGCTCTTATTGCACTTACTTCCTCTATTCACACTATACTTTTTTTATATATAAATAATTATTTAATGATGTTATATCAGATCCTATATCATTCTTAAATATTGTTGAGACGCGGTTAATAATGAATGAGAATAGTATTAATACTCCCGAGCGACGGAGTAGATAATTGGTGAGAGAACAAGACAGAAGAAAAAAAACAAACATGGGACCAACTCCAATCCAAAATGACAAATTAAAGGCAAGCACACAATAAAGTTGGAGGTCTTTTTACTTTTGGACTTACAACATAATACAAATTTAGAATATTCATTAACTCCAATAATATAGGTAGCAACCAATGGGAGAACCTTGTACAAATACTTCTCCTCCAACCAAAACACCTAAATTAAAAAACACACTCCCAAAAATTAAAAATTAAAGTTGAAAATTACCAAAAAGCCCTTCCCCTCTCTCTATAAAGATTATATTTTATAACCAAACTCCCAAAACATATACACTGTTTGGTCTTTTCCCTCTCTCTCTCTATTTTGATTATAAAAAGAAAATTTACATTAAATTTGTTCCATTGATCTCCTCTCTTTGGTGTTAAATTGGTCTCTTCTTCACACCAAACAAGTTGGTACAAAGCAGCTTGCTATGTAACTCAGCCCTCTCTTCTGCAACAAAAAAAAATATATATATATATATTTTTTATTAAATACATAATACCCATATTTATTTATTTATTTTTAGGTTAAAAATAATATACTTGCTGTCTATTTTTCTTGTTTCAAAGAATATGTATATATATGTTCATAGTATGTTTTTTTTTCAATATTTGGATGTTGTATATGCTACAAAAATAGCGGGTTTTTGTAATAAAATTAGAAATAAGAACCCTAAACAAAAAAACGAATAGATTTGATTCCTAGCTTCATGGTTTTCTATAAAATGTACTACTTTTTTTTAAGAATTATCCAAAAATCAAAGCCAAATTTCAAAATTTTACAAATGGAAAAAAAAAAGATAGGAAATCAAAATAAAGGAAAATGAAACCACAAGTTTGGAACTTTTTAGAATACTGTAATCTATAATAAACTTTTTAAAATTTTAATTTTATGTTAAATAGATCCTTAAACTTTTAAAAGTATTTAATAAATTAGAAATCTGTTAGACACAAAATTGAGAAAATTCAACGACGTACAGATACAAACTTCAAAGTTTAAAGTATATATATATATATATATACTTTTTCTTTGGTTAAAATACTATCTCGATCCATATACTTCCAACTCCCGTTCATTTTGATCTTTATAATTTAAAAATTGTCACTTTTAAAAGGTTCAGAGATCAAAATGAATATTTTAAAAGATCAGGGACTAAAATGAATATTTTGAGATTAAAAAGACTAAAATGGAGTAAAGCTAAAATAATATTTTAACCTTTTTTTTAAGAAAGAGATAATTGATTTTTTTTATTTTAGCAATAAAAAAGAAAAAGAAAAAGAAAAGGGAAAAGACCTTTTTGGGCTTGGCAGAGAGAAGGTGAGGTGAGATTTTGTAGAGGTCTTCGTCAACTGGCTTGGGCTTGGGTTTGGTCGTTGCCTTTTGCTGCACTGTTGCAGTTTCAGTCTCTGTATCTGTTTCCTTCTTCCCTTCCCTCACCTGCCTGTGACGCTTCGTCTGCAAATTCATTCATCACCCCCCACCCCTTTTTCATTAGTCAAAATTTCCACATCTACCCCTACTCCAAACCAAATTTACTGCTCCATCATTATTATTTTTTAAAATATCTTTGTTTTTACTTTTCTCTTGATTGTCAAAACATTTAATGGATGGCAAGATTATTAAGAAGTAAAGTATAAAATTAACACCTCATTATTTAAAAAAGAAAAAGAAAGAGAAAAATATTTATTATATATTTGGTTTTGGATATACTTTAATTAATGGTAAAGTAAAGTACTTTAAGGCTTTTTGCGTGAAAGCATGCTTAGCTGAAGCCTTCACACGATGGATGTGGATCCACTCATTAAAGCAACCCCTCCAATTTCCTTTTTCCCTTTCTTTTTTCTTCAATTTTTTCTCCTACGAAACACAACAAAACTGCCCCCCCCCCCACTAAAAATAATAATAATAACAAAGTGTTCGCCTCTCTTTGGTTCATTTTAATTATATTTTTAAAATATCCACTTAGATTCCTATATTTTTATCTTTAATTCATTTTAGTTAACCAAGAAAAAATAATTCTCCAAAACCGAACTAAATATTTGACAACTCATTCTTATTTAAATTTTTTTTTTATGTTTTTTAACATTTAATCATTTCAGTAACTAAAATAAATCAAAATAAAAAACGCACTTCAAACTGGAGAGGCGGGTTATTGTTACCGTGGAGCGAGGGACGACGATCATGGCGGGGGTGACGACGTCGTTGTGATACAAATCGCCGGCGACGTACAAGTCGCGAACCTCGGAGTAGCCATGGGCGGCGCCGGCGTAAGCGGCGGTTGTGGAGGAGTCGAAGCACTGGGTGAAAGGAAGGTGGTCGTTCCAGTCCCAGTTGCCGAAGGAGGGAATGTAGTTTCTGCGGTAGTAGTAATCCTGTGAAACCAAACCCACAGTAAGAAAGATAGACACACACACAGATAATAATAATAATAATAATAATAATAATAATAATAATAATAATAGAGAAAAGAGGAGTTACCTCCATTGAAGGGGAAGGGAGAAGCAAGAATTTGAGAGAGAGATTGAGGAATTGAAGGTAGAAGAAGAAGAAGAGAGGAGGAGGGGGAAGGAATTAAATGGGAGTGGGAAGAACAGTAGGAGGGGGGGACAGAGTGACAGATGAGTAAGGTAAGTGAGGAGAGAGAAAATATGGGGAGGTTTGCTTTTTTGCCCTTTTTGCCTCTTGAATATTGGAGGAGAGTTGATGCCTCTCTCTTCACCTATGTGGCTTTTTGGTTGTTTCATTTTGGGACTAGTGAAAAATAAACAATACTACCACCTATTTTACTCTAACCACCGTTCAATACATATATTTGGTATGATGTTTCTGTTTTGGGTATAGTTCTCACGGTTTCTTCCAAAAGATCTCATGTCTATGAGATAATTGTTCTCTCCTATATATCATGGATCGCCCGATTTCTTAATCAATGTGAAATTTTGTTTTCATACCTTGCAACCCAATGTATATTAAGGTAGTTTATATTTAAACAAAAAAAAAAGTAAAATAGCACATTTAATTAACATCAATATTCAAGTTTTACAAATATAGCATGGACGCCCAGATAATAAAATGTCAAATATATCTTGAAGTTCAAAACTTGTATATCTTTGATGTACTTGCAATATGTATGTCCTAATATACCTTATTGACTTCCTCAAGGGATAGCTTGGGTGAAGTCTTGGGTTCAAGCCACATGGAACACAACTTCCACCAAGCAATGACTCATTGTGTATGTACGAGGCAATGCGCATACCCCACAGGTATCTCCCTAGGTATACGGACATAAAGGCCTAAGGGTCGTCGACTCCTGGAGATATATATATATATATATACACCTTTATGAAATATTACTATTGTGCACGTCTAAAAAGACACGTTAAGGCAAGACCTTTATATATATATATATATATATATATATACCTTTATGAAATATTACTATTGTGCACGTCTAAAAAGACACGTTAAACCAAAACCAAAGGTCTTGCCTTTACACAAATAAAAAGTCGAGATATCACCCCTTAAGATATGACAATCACTTATGAAGAGAGCTGATAATGATTAACCTAGTTTTGACTTATATATTTCTCAAATAGAATGAAAACTTAAATTTAATACCGTGTCTTTTAGATTTTTATGTTCATATTATAATACGGTATCGTCTAGATTTAAAACTTGTATCTACTTCTAATTTTTTAAGTTCAGATTATAATACAATTTCTTTTAGATTTTGAGTGATATGACAATGAGCTCATTTATATATTGTAAAACACTTTGTATTTAACCTTTTGTTTGCCAAATTGTTGATAATATAATGTGTTTCCCCCTTATTGATTAGAACAAAATTAATTCGATAATTTTCGAATTTGATACCACTGTTATATGTTATTGATATACTTCTTATATGATTACCTGAATCTGATATACTTATGATATACCTACTACATGTATGTGCTAATCTACCTCATTGATTTACATTTGATTTACTAATATACCTATGATATAGGTGTGTTAATATACCACTGATGTACTGATATATGTACTGATATATACTTCTGATATGATTATCTAATTTTGATATACCTCTAATATCCCTCCAATATATATGTGCTGATGAAGGATAAAATCATAATTATAAAAATTTCAAAAATAAAAATTCAAAATTTTGTTATAGTTGCAAAATCCAAAAGGTGTCTGACATTTTTGCAAATGTGGATAAACTTTTTACTACCAATTGCAAATTTCCTTGAATATTTGACAACTAAAACAGATAAAGATAAATACAAAAATAAAGGAATTTTTTAAAATATAATGAGCTTTCAATTTTTAAATAGGGATCAGAATTGTAATAAATCCTATTAAGGGAGCCCATTAAGATGTAATTAGCTACTAAACTATTATTAATTACATTGTTGTTAAAATCAATTTTGGCAGTGGTTAGAGTTAGTTAATCTTCACTCTCTACTGTGTATTTCTTCTATAAGAAGAGTATTGTAAATGTAAAAATTAGAATAAGAATTACCCATTGTAATCATTTAACTACTGGTCCATGTCCAATATATTATATTATATTTATTTATTATACTATATATATATAATTGTTTTTTTTTTTAACTATGTGGTACTTCTCATGAAAAAACTTGTTTTTTCAACGATTTTAGTAAAAGATAAATAGATTTATCCATGTACACAAATTTTTTTTCGTTACAAAAAGAAATCTTTCTATTTCAAATGTTGATACTGTTTTTGTTTTCTTTATAATTACTTTTTAATGAATGCTGAATAGTCATGAAATCTTTCGTTTGAATAGATAATTTTACAGCGATGACTTTCTGGTTTTTTGTTTTTTATTTTTTATTTTTGAAAAACATAAGCATTTCCTAATTGTTGTTATTTATTGTTTTTCATTTTTAAAAAACCTTTCCTAAATTATGTATAAGCTCTTGGAACAACCAAATCAAATCATGTTCCTTGTTTTTTGTTTGTTGTTTTCATTTTTTTTTTCAAAATTTACATAAAAGCATTATTTTATTATTTTTTATTTTTAAAATGAATAATAAATATAAGAAGAAAGAACCATGGATTGAAAAAAAGTAAATGAGAAATAAGAAACGGAAACGTTACGGGGTGGAACCTTAATTTTATTCCTAAAATGTAAGGAAAACTTTAAAACTCTATCTCTAGATTACATTAGTTTCAATTTGATAACATGCATAAAACATCTCTGGTATAATCAGACCTAAACTCTAAACTATCTTTGAGCAAGGAAGATTATTTATGCCAATAATATAGATGTCTAATTAAGGTACTTATATTGTGATGTCCGAGTAGAGATGAGGGGTACACGGATGAACCGGTACCACATCCGAATGAGAGGGATCTTGAGATCATGGAAGCATAGTTAAGAAACGTTTAAAAGAATTGATGGTTACTATCTATACTAACAAAATGTACTTTCCTTTTTGGTGGTTCAACGATAAAATCTTCAAAGTTAAGCGTGCTTGGCTTGGTGTAATTTTAGGTCGGGTGATAGGACAAAGAATGCTGAAAGGATATTGGTTTATAGGGATACCTTCAATCTTCTAAGTAACTCAGACAGAGAACATGGGGCAATCATAAGCCTGAGATATTACATACACTTTATCTAAAGATTAGGTTGGATTCCCACTCTTACATTTATTGAACTCAAATAAATAAATAATGAATATAGATCATTATAATTACATACCTTAAAAAAAACGAAATTGTCACATTTTAACCAATTCCAATGAGGTTAGTTTAATAGAAATACTTTTTTCTATTTCAAAAAGTAAATGTTCAAATTAAAAGTACAAAATGTTTCAGGTTGGTATAGCATGGTGGCAAGCGCTGGGACATTTTGATACTGCCTACTGATTTTAAATTTGAGCCCTGTGCTGGTCACTTGTTGCGGGATCCACTTGATAGGATAATGTGAATCCCGGAGCGAAAGCAGTAGAACGTGTTTTTGAATTTCTTTTGAAATTTAAAACATAGAAAAATATAAAATAAGAAAGAATGTTGGATTTTACCTCTGAAAACTCTTCTTCGTATAAACCCAATGAGACAACACCACTTGATCTTCCTTGCTAAGTCTCTCGGTCGCGAATCCGGATTGTGGGATTCAATTGCAAGGGATTGAGAGGGTAAGAGAGTTAGAGATTTTTTTTAGCATTTCTTTAAGTTCAGTTTACTGTTATATTTATAGAGGAAAAATTTTAAAACCATCAGGATAGGTATCTTTCTGTATATAGAATATATTCTCTTAAATTTGTGGCAAATTCCAAGACATTATGATATCTTATTATTTTGAAAAAAAAATTACTAAAATTAAGTAGGTTTCATATGCAATTCAGATTTTGTATCTTGTTTTCAGATTCACAATTCAGTGAATAGCTTCGAAAACTGTTTTTAGATTCAATGATACAAAAAGTAGAAATGATGAGAACAATATTTTTATATTTTTAAGTATTTTCAAATTTTGAATTTGAAACTTTAAAATGCATAACAACATTAAGAAATATTTTTTTTTTATAAATATATTATATCATATTATAAACTCATTTCAGGTTTGTTAAAACTAAAAAATATAATATATTATAAAAGAATAATTCTACAAAATTTATAATATATATGTTAATAAATTAATTAATATTAAATATTTAGTTGATAGTTATCACTAGTTTACAAATATACTACTAAACACCTTGAATATTGTTTTAAATTCAGATTCAATTCCCAAATCTACTACCAAACACATATCTAAAAACACAAAAAACAATTCTATTTTAATTGAATCACTTGTTTTCAGATTACCGACCAAACGTATCCTAACATAATCCCAACAAAATGAAAGGCTTTGTATAAGTTTGCCAAAAATTAGAAGGGAAAAATGTAAAAAAAAAATAGAAAGATTGACATTATATATATATTATCGGTTGTTTTACTATGCTAGTCAATTCATTTTTACTTTGATATCAAGTCTATAGACATAAAAATGCAGATGAAACTATCAACAAAAACTTGTTGTGCAGAAGCAAGGATCTGGAACGTTGTGGTATCACCTATTATAAGGTATGAATTCTAGTCCTATACTGATCATAACGATCCCGATTATAGGGATCTACTGTATAAACTACACGATTATGAGAAATTAAAAAAAAAATCAACTATGGACAAAAATTTAATAAGCAGTGGTAGGTTGTTAAAATTAGGAAAGAAAAGAAAAAGAAAAAAAAAAAGAAAAAGGTGAACAGGGGGGAAAAGGGGGAGTTTAAAAAAAAGTGCTTTAGAAACCCCACACGCGTACCCCTCCCTCACCTGGTGCTTCGTGCTGTTCTACGCACAGGAAATTCCCGTCCCGTAGGCCGTAGACTTAATTTAAAATTAAAAAAAATTAAAGAATTAAATTAATGAAATAGTCTGACACGTGCCTGACATGTGCCTCTGCCTCTCTTAGCTCCACAGCTCAACAATACTGATTACTGCCCATACTCTCCCCTGAACATATTTTCACGGGATAATGTCTAATATTACTGAATTTTTACCTGCTCTTTTCTTTCATTAATTCCACACTATTTATTATTTTATTGCCTAAATTATAAAATAAAATTTGCTATTTATTTAAAAAACTAACATCTCCATATTCATGTTTTATAAACGTTTCAAAAATATATTTGAAACAAAAGCTACTTAACATTTCAAGATCGCACATATGACAAACAATAAACGTTATATTTGTTGGGATAATAGAGCCAAAATAGATTATTCATGTTTCTACAACGAAAAAGTTTTTCAAACACTACTACGAATTCCTACAATGCGTAGAATATTTTTTTATATAATAAAGATTATAATATTGTTATCCTATAAAGATTAGGATATTTGGCTTCCTATACATAGAACCCCTTTTATTAAAGCTTTCTTTGTACAAAATCCAAATAAACGAGACCTGAGTGGTTGTAGGCAGTGTATGAAAAACAGTTTGTATCCCGTGGGTTTAGTGAAGATGTTTTTTCAATTGTATAATCCTAGGTAGCCATTGTTAGGGTACTAGAAGCAATATAGTAATTGTATAGTGATATCTTGAGCATGATATCCATTGTAATATTCTTAACTATAGTAGACGCGAACCAGTATAATTCTTGTGGTGTTAAGCTTTGTTATTACTTATCTGCTCTTGGCATGTGGAAGGGGAAAATCAAATTGTTCATATGTTTGAAGAACTTACAGGAAGATCGATTGATCTATATTTTTTTTCATCAATATTCCAATACTACTAGATATTTTCCCACAGTACAACATGTGGCGCAGAGATTTGAACTTACGACCTTTTGGTCGGAGATAGATGCATTAACCAATTGCGCTATGCTCGTGTTGACGTATAAGCGTTCTTCACTTTCCTTTTTTTTTTAATAAAGCATTTTTTTGTTATGTTTGTCTATTTTACATGATCTCTCAAGGTTTCTAACTAGCTTAACTTTTAAGATTGTATCTAATTTGATTCTTGCACACTTAAACGTTTTGAATGAGTACCAAAACTTTCGAATTTGTGTCTACTAGACCTAGTAGGTATTTCTCCTCGACTTTATAAATTTAAGGAAAAAACTTCCCTCATGAATTCCTATGTAGTCCAGTAACATACAGACAAGTGGATCACATAAAAATTATACAAAATTAAAAAATCCACTTGTTTATATATTACTGGATCACGCATGAATTCAGGAGGAGCTTCCTCCAGAATCTTCACGAGGGAAGTTTTGTCCTTAGTTTAATGCTTATGTTGCACATGTTAACTGTATTGTTTAAGTATTATACAACTAGGTTTAGGTAATTTTGGTGGTGCAAAAAGTGTTAGGAGTTACGGAGTTAACAACACCCAATAGAGAACTTGTAGATATAAAATTAAAAGTTTAATTGGCCTGTTAGAATATTTAAAAGTAGGAGTTCTAAATAAACAACTCTAAAAATTCACGACTTATTAAAAACTTTTTAGAGTATATAGACTAAATAAACACAACACTATAAGTTTAAATATGAGAGATAATTTTCCATTCATTTTTTTCTTGTATTTATGGAATTTGAAATTTATGCTATTTTTGTTCTTGAATTTTCAAATGKTCTATTTTAGTCCATGATTTTTTTTTAAAATAATTGTTTAATAATCGTCACAATTTATGCGCCCCCTATTTAAATACCTGCCTTATGTTTGGGGATAAAAATATTGTGGACACGTGGAGGACGCTCATTGGTGCTAATGAATAAAAGAATATTCCAGGTCCACCTCGAACCTACCAAGGAGACCGAATTTGTCCGAAAACGAGGCTAAGTGTAAAAAGCCGTGGTTCGACCTGGACGGGTTCGACCTGCTCAAACCTGACAGGTTCGACATGAGAAAAGACAGATAACCGCCAATCGTGAGTACTGTCAGACCCACCACCTATAAATAGAGTGCCTCATTTCACGCTCAGGTATCGAATCTCACCTCGAATTTAATATCGAATCTCACCTCTTGTGCAGGTTCACTCCACGGTTCAGGTCGTGCCAGAGACCGGGTTCAAGCTAGGTTCGTGAACATCGTTGTGCAATTATTTGCATAAACATTTGGCGCCGTCTGTGGGAAGGGGCAATTTAAGTCATCCCGATCTAAAAATATACATAAAAATGGTCAACCAGCAAACTCAACTAACACAGCAGACCGAAGAGCTCTGGCTGCTGACAATGACCTCCAGAGAGAGGTCGAGGTGGCAGAGGATCAGAATCAGGAGCGTGTAGGGACTGACCAGCTTTGTAGGTCGGCGCACATCACCTCATCTGTTCTGCCACCAGTACATCCTAAACCAACTAAGGCCAACCGCGATCGAGGTGGTGCCTCGAGGAAAAACACTCGATGAGAGACTCCAGCTCCTACTCAGGAGAATTTTGAAGCCCTCCAAAAAGAGATGGAGGCAATGCGCACCCAGATGCGCACAATGGAAGAAATGTACAACAAGATGGTGCAAATTGCTGGTGCCAGGTCTCGATCTGGAGACCAGGTGGTGCATGAAGACGTGCACGAGCAAGGGGATCTCCACTGCGACCCAGTCGACGAGGAGCACCTCGGGGGCGATCTCCGCGATCATCTTAACAGAAAAAGGAACTCGTCTCACCGAGGAGAACGAACTTCGACTTACTGGCACAAGAACTCCAACCAGCAGGCCGAATCCTCTTACAACCCAATAGCTCCCGAAGGAGTGATCACGAGGGAGGAGTTCAACCAGCTCAAGAGCAAATTTGATGCTCAAGTTGAAGCCTTGAAAGTAAGGTGCGAGAAGAAAGAGAGTGCATTTGATGATGGCGACTTGGGAGAATCGCCATTCACCTCGGACATCCTAGAGGCTTCCATCCCTCCAAAGTTCAAAACTCCCACTATGAAATCATATGATGGGTCTAAGGACCCAAAAGACTATGTTGAGGTTTTTGAAGGCCTCATGGATTTTCAAGCGGCAACAGATGCTATCAAATGCCGCGCCTTCCAGATCGCGCTTACCGGCAGCGCGCGCTTGTGGTATAGAAGATTGCCGGCCAGGTCGATCTCGACCTACTCTCAGCTGAGGAAAGAGTTCATCAGTCAATTCTTTTCTCGGCACTATGATAGAAAGACAACGACTCACCTCGCCACTATCAGGCAGAAGGAGGGCAAGACGCTTAAAGAATACATCACAAGGTTCCAGGAGGAGCAGCTGAAGGTCGTGCACTGCTCCGATGATTCGTCCATGTGCTACTTTCTCACCGGCTTGGCCGATGAGACTCCCACCGTAAAGCTTGGAGAGGAAGCTCTAGCCACCTTCGCTGAGGTTTTGCAAATGGAGAAGAAGTTTATCGATGGACAGGAGCTCCTCCGGACCAAGACTGACCGACCAGAAAAGCAGATCGACCAGAAGAAGTCCAGCCAAGACAAGAGGAAGGCTGATTCCAAGTCTAAGGACAAGGGGTCATCCTCCTCTAACAGCCGAACTGATTATTGTAGGTCGGACAACAGTCTCAACCGAAGCCGACCTTACGAACGTTATACTCCAACCACCATCCCCATCTCTGAAATACTTACAAACATTGAAGAGACTGGGATGGAGAAGCTCCTCAAGCGACCGGAGAAGCTCCGAGGAGACCCAGAAAAGCGCAACAAAGATAAATATTGCCGTTTTCATCGTGATCACGGCCATAACACATCGAGTTGCTAGGAACTCAAACGCCAGATTGAAGACCTCATTCAAGATGGCTACTTCAAAAAATTTGTTGGCAAACCGAGGTCCAACTCGGTAGAAAAGAAAGAAGAGAGGAAGCGTTCAAGGACGCCACCTCGCCTAGATGACCGACCTGCGGTCATCAACACCATTTTCGGAGGCCCAAGTGGGGGCCAGTCTGGAAATAAAAGGAAGGAGTTAGCTCGCGAAGCCAGTCGCGAGGTGTGCATCATTAGGGAGCAAAGACCGACCTGCTCCGTTACCTTCGATGATTCCGACCTGGAGGGGGTCCACTTGCCCTATAATGACGCACTGGTGATCGCCCCTCTCATTGATCACGTCCTGGTCCGAAGAGTATTGGTAGATGGTGGCGCATCTGCCAATATTCTGTCCCTTGCCCTGGGATGGACCAGGTCGCAGTTGAAAAAGAGTCCAACACCCTTGGTTGGATTCTCTGAAGAATCAGTCTCCCAGAAGGGTATATTGACTTGCCGGTTACTATAGGGCAAGACAATACACAGGTCACGCAGATGGTCGAGTTCGTCGTGATCGACGGCAGGCCTATTATCCACTCGTTCCGGGCTGTTCCCTCAACGCTTCATCAACTTTTGAAGTACTCAACTCCCAATGGAGTGGGCACGGTCCAAGGAGAGTAGAAGACTTCAAGGGAGTGTTATGCCTCCGCACTCAAAGGGTCAGTGGTGTGCGCCTTCAAAAAACAAGCCGATTGGACCAAGGAGCAAGAGTCAGAGGCCGACCTACCAAGGAAAGGCAAAAGGGAGTTCTCTCCCCCAACAGAGGAGCTCGAGCTTGTTCCTTTGCTTAGCTCTGAAAAACAAGTAAGCATAGGAACCAAGCTGGGGGCCACTGATAGGGAGGAGTTGATCAACTTCCTCAGGTCCAACTCGGACGTTTTTGCATGGTCCCACAAGGACATGCCAGGCATATACCCAAAAATCATGGTGCATCGCCTCAACCTAGACCCATCATTCCGTCCTGTAAAGCAAAAAAGAAGACCTGTAAATAAAGAGAGGAGTGATGTAATTGTTAAGGAAGTAAACAAACTATTAAAGGCTGAATACATAAAAGAAATTTTGTATCCCGAATGGCTCTCTAATGTTGTATTAGTTAAAAAATCCAACGGGAAGTGGAGAATGTGCGTGGACTTCACAAATTTAAACAAGGCATGCCTAAAAGACTACTTCCCACTGCCGAGGATCGACCAACTCGTAGACGCAACAGCCGGGCACGAGCTGCTCACCTTCATGGATGCCTACTCCGGATACAACCAAATCAAAATGCATGTGCCAGATCAAGATCATACCGCATTCATAACGGACCAAGGTCTGTACTGCTACAAGGTTATGCCCTTTGGCCTTAAGAATTCGAGTGCGACCTACCAAAGAATGGTGAACAAGATGTTCGCCAAGCAGATCGACCGGAATATGGAAGTGTATGTGGACGACATGCTTGTCAAGAGTAAGCAGTCAAAATCGCATCTTTCCGATCTGACCGAAGCCTTTGGAGTTCTACGGAAATACCAGATGAAGCTCAATCCAGCCAAGTGTGCCTTCGGAGTTTCCTCTGGTAAGTTCCTTGGCTTTATGGTAAACAACCACGGGATCGAAGCCAACCCAGAGAAAATAAAGGCCGTGCTCAAGATGGAAGCACCCAAAACTCTGAAGCAGCTTCAGTGCCTTAACGAAAGGATTGCAGCTTTGAATAGATTCGTCTCGAGATCAACAGATAAGTGCCTTTCTTTCTTCAAAGTCTTGAGAAAGAAGGGACCATTTGAATGGACGACAGAGTGCGAGCAAGCACTGGAACAATTAAAGACCTATCTCTGCTCGGCACCACTGCTCGCCAAGCCTTGCCGGAAGACAAGCTCCACTTATATATGGCGGTATCCAACCTTGCCGGAAGATAAGCTCCACTTATATCTGGCGGCATCCAATAGTGTCGTCAGCTCAGCCCTAATCAAGCAAGATAGAGTACGCCAAAGTCCAATTTATTACACAAGTAAGGCGATTACCCAGGCCGAGACCAGGTATCCACAAATGGAGAAGATGACCCTCGCTTTGGTCACCTCGACCCGAAGACTTAGGCCGTATTTCCAAGCACACACCATTGTGATGCTTACCAACTTGCCCCTGAAGAACATCTTCCACAAGCCAGAAACATCAGGACGCCTGATGAAGTGGGCAATAGAATTGAGCGAGTACGACATCCAGTTCGAACCCAGAACTGCGTTAAA